CGGAAAAAAAAAAAAAAAAAAGAAACATGGGCAATTTGCCCTAATGGAAGCGTCAGTCCTATTATCCAAGTGGTAACTGCCAGGAGAGAGACTGCCCAGGTCATCCAAACACTGGGCCTCCTGGGCAGGTGTGTCCCTGTAATGGAGCTAGGTGTAGATGGCTAAGAGCCTGATGCCATGAACTGTTTGGCTCTTGTCACTCCTTTTGTTCCAGTTCCTTGACAATTAAATAATTTTTAGATAATCTGGCTTCCCAGTTACTGTCTATAGGGATAGAATATATTGAGCAGACTAACATTTGTAACCATGAAGATCCATAGTTAAGTTTTTCATTCTACATTCATAAACAGGTATTCTGATTTTATACATCTTGCCAGCTTATAAATAAAGATCCTGTCAATGATGGGACTTTGAAGGGACACGTTTCTGGGTTTACAAAGTTAAGACCTTGGATCCGGGGTTATTTTACTTAGTAGCTATTAGGAACAACTGCAATACATACATATTTTTTTTACCAAAAAAAGTGATTTAATTAGCCAATATATTTTAATTCTAGATGCTAGAAAAATAGTAACTTTGGGAAAAAGGACTTTTTTCTTGTGGGTGGGGGCTGGGAAGGCAGGGAGTTGTTTTGAATGATGGGGAAGAGTAGAAAATACAGGCTAAACGACCATAGGTATTTAGAGTGAATTCAGGGACTTCAAGAAACCTTTAGAAAAATGAGTCTGGAATTAGTGTTAAATAATATTGTACTGGACTGAAGCTTGTGTTGAATTGTTATATGATTCTTGTATCAAAAATACTATATTTGTTTGATACTTGTTATTTTTTGTGTGGAGAGGTAGCCTTGCCAGGGACGTTCAGCGTCAAAGCTGATGTGGACTTCTCTGGTATGTTGCCTGCCTCTCTGAAGGCCTCTTGGTGCTTGTCGTCCTGACAGGTGGGGGAAGAGGGAGCAGGCCACTTCGTGAAGATGGTGCACAACGGGATAGAGTATGGGGACATGCAGCTGATCTGCGAGGCGTACCACCTGATGAAAGACGTGCTAGGCATGGCGCAGGATGAGATGGCGCAGGTCAGGCCCAAGCACTGCCGCTGTGTCCACACTGCAGGAAGTGCGCACTTGACCACTGACACTGAATTTTTCTTCATTCCTATCCCCTTGGCCATTCTGGTGACCTAATTTAAGGGAAACTCAGTAATACGGCTGTACATTATGCTAGTTAGTCACTAAGCAGAATGTCCCCGCAGAGTCTGGGTGGTTATCATCACCACCATTCAGTATACCTTACCTGGGGTCAGACACTGCGTCACTTCACATACCTGTCTCATTTACTCCCACAATCATCCCACACGGCAGATGCTGCGGAAGCTTTCATTTCTGATCAAGTTGGAATTGGCTTTTTGATAGTTAATCCAAAAAGTTAGTCCAAGTAGGGAAGCTGAAGCATTCCCCCACCATTTTATTATGAAAACACTCAAGCACGCAGCACAGTTGAGAGTTTTACAGTGAACACCCGGATACACACCGCCTCCTTTCTCCCGTACACAGGTTCTTGTACTTGCTTTATCAATGCCTGTCCATCCCCCATCAATTTCATCTTATTTTTTGGATACATTCAAAGTAAACTACAGGTATCTGTACTCTTGTTTTCCCTAAATACTTCAGATGAATATATCTTTATCCTGAGGTAAACATAGATTTAAAACATAGGAAAGGACCTTCATTCAGCCGTCATTTTTTGTAGGGCCAAGCCCTGCTTGTTAAGTATGGTTTGCTGATGTGTGTTTTATTCTTGTCTTAAACCATCTAGAATTTCTAGTTTCAGTTACTTCAGATGGGATGTGATCTACAGACACTAGCAAGGCATATAGTATAGAAGCTTTCCAAATTTTTTGTTGTTTTTCTCCTAATTTTTTATTCATGTCATCCTCACTTATTTCGACTATTATTTGTTGCACTGGCCAGCTTTTATTGTTCTTTCTAAAACATTACCTTAGTTTTCTTTCACAGAAATAGTGCTTTTCTCTTTGTGTTCATTTTTAATTGGTGTATATAATATTTAATGTGTTCACTCAGCAAACACACATGAATGCTTTACTATATGCCAGGCATGATTTAAATGCTGGGGATATATATATATATAATAGTGAAGAAAACAAAGTCCCCACCCTCCTGGAGCTGAGAAGACAGACAATAATAAATAAACAGTATAAAACTAGTTAGTAATGACTGTGAGAAAGAAGAGTAAACTGGGATGAGATGGGGTGATTACAGACTTCTGGGAAGGCAGCGGTGCACAGAGATCTCAGTGAAGTGTGGAGCCCTTGGCTCTGAGGAGAGAACACTTCTGGTGGCCAGAATTTCTGCATAACCAGGTTCAGATCAAACACAACTAATGCTGGGTTAGCATAAAACTCCCCCAGCAGGAGAAGAAGTCCCCAGGCAGATGCGAGCAGAGCCTGCTGGCAACTGTGAGCATTGGTCAGCATGGACATTGGACCAGGGGGCTTCCTTTCACAGCGCTGGTTCCTCTAACTTGGTTCTCTCCTGTGTTCTGCACGTAGGCCTTTGAAGATTGGAACAAGACAGAGCTAGACTCATTCCTGATCGAAATCACAGCCAATATTCTCAAGTTCCAAGATGCTGATGGCAAACATCTGCTGCCAAAGATCAGGGACAGTGCAGGGCAGAAGGGCACGGGGAAGTGGACCGCCATCTCCGCCCTGGAATACGGTGTACCCGTCACCCTCATTGGTAATGTTACCCTTTCCGCTTGAGCCCTTTCTTCCACTATTCTGATCTTGATGCCTGGAGGATGGATACAGACTGGTCTTTAGAGAATCTCTTCAGTCCTCTTGAGCTGTCAGAGTGCCTTTGCTCTTTCTGTGAAGAACCTGACCTGACAGCGTGAGAGAGGCTGATGCTGCTTTTGATTCTCTTCTTTGTAGTTCTTATGTCATTCATACAGACTGTGAGGTAAATTCAGAAGCAACTGTCCTTCCTATTCAGTTTATCTTTGGAATATTTTAGCATTAGTGATTTAATTGTAGTCAGTGATCTAAGATCTTATTTTGGGGGCAGGTAACTTGCGTGAAGTTTTTCATGAATAACATGGAAAAGAAAAGTTCATGAATAACAGGGCTGGGCACTGTGGCTCACGCCTGTAATCCCAACACTTTGGGAGACTGAGGCGGGTGGATCACCTGAGATCAGGAGTTCAAGACCAGCCTGGCCAACATGGAGAAACCGCATCTCTACTAAAAATACAAAAATTAGCCAGGTGTGGTGGTGGACGCCTGTAATCCCAGCTACTTGGGAGGCTGAGGCAGGAAAATCACTTGACCCGGAGAGGTGGAGGTTGCAGTGAGCCAAGATCGTGCCACTGTTTTCCAGCCTGGGTGACAGAGTGAGACTCTATCTCAAAAATAAACAAAAAATAAAAAAACAGTATTTTCCCATTTGCTTCTCTAGATACAGGTTGCCATTCTCTCCCTAGACTCCTCCCTGCTTTTGACCTCCCTGTTCATTGTGCCTCGCCCTGTTGTATGTGGCGTAAGGCAGAGTTAAGGAGGGAAGTCGGTGGTTTTTACAGTCTGGTGCTATATAGAAGGAAGTTGGCTGCTTTTAGCAGATCTGAGCTATAACATAGGTTAGCAGGGAGGGGCCAATAGCTAGGATCAGTTTATTCATCACAAGACTCAAGTGTATGTGAAAGTATTAGGATCTCAGAATCCTATTCTGCTCCTGTGGATCCATACACTCCTTCCCCTAGGACAGCTGGGCCCACACTCTGGCTGGGAGCCCTCATTATTTGTGAACTAATGGGGAAGTCTTCCAGCTGCCCTCTCCCCATGTAACAGGAAGGGTTTGCCTCATTGCCTGTTGCACTAGTCATCTTACAAAGCTTCCTTCTAGAAATGCCATGTCATCCTGTGTGTGCATTTGGGCCAGGAGAAAGGCAGCTGCTTTCGTGTTTTTCAAGTAGGGTTAGTAATCTCAAGCTATAGCTCCTCCTCTTTCCTTATAAATAAAGTCCTCTGCTAGTTCCCTGAGATTTTACTTCATTTTGTCTGTGGGGGGGAAAAAATGGCTAAGGAGCCATTTATTAATCCCAGCACTTTGGGAGGCCAAGGTGAGTGGATCACAAGGTTAAGAGTTCAAGACCAGCCTGACCAATATGGTGAAACTGCATCTCTACTAAAAATACAAAAATTAGCCAGGCATGGTGGCGAGTGCCTGTAATCCCAGCTACATGGGAAGCTGAGGCAGGAGAATCGCTTGAACCCAGGAGCCAGAGGTTGCAGTGAGCAGAGATTGCACCACTGCACTCCAGCCTGGACTACAGAGTGACACCCTGCCTCAAAACAAACAAACAAGAGTCCTTTATTCTAAGTATATAAATTGTCAGTTGAGCAAGTAGTCTTTTATAAGAGTTACTTTTTGAAAATACTAAATGTATTAATATTAAAATACATTGAAATTATTTAATTCAAATGAAGTAAAATGTGAAACTTTGAAGATCATGGATATACTGAAAACCGTAAAATATTAAAAACCTTAACATTTTTTTGAGAGGTGAGTCTCTGTGACCTCTCAATGTAATATCTTCAAAAAAAAATTAAAGTTCTCTAAATTGAATTTGAAATTGTACTTGTGGACCAACACTGAGTAATTCTACATAACAGTGGTTTTTATTTTATTTTACTGTTTTTTTTTTTTTTTTTTTTTTTTTTTGAGACGGAGTTTCACTCTTGTTACCCAGGCTGGAGTGCAATGGCGCGATCTCGGCTCACCGCAACCTCCGCCTCCTGGGTTCAGGCAATTCTCCTGCCTCAGCCTCCTGAGTAGCTGGGACTACAGGCACGCACCACCATGCCCAGCTAATGTTTTTGTATTTTTAGTAGAGACGGGGTTTCACCATGTTGACCAGGATGGTCTCGATCTCTTGACCTCGTGATCCACCCGCCTCGGCCTCCCAAAGTGCTGGGATTACAGG